AAAAGAAAGAAAGAAACCAAGAAACCACCCTTCCCACACTTCAGGCCCCAGGTCCAGGCCAAGGGGGCCACTCCTGCAGGCAGTGCAGGCCCAGGGGCTCAGGTGGTACTGGCCACGGGCTCCAAGTGGGACCAGCCCATGGTTTGGCTCTTAGGGCCTGGCTGGGAGGCTGCCTGCCTCCATCTGGGGAGCCCAGGCCCTGGACTGGGGATGAGAGAGATCAGGGGTCAAGGTCAGAGGTATGGGTCATTCAGTTTTGGTTCTCTGGCCAAGGTAGCCAGAGGTCAGGGTTCAGATGTGGAAGTCAAAGCCACTCAATTCTGTGGTCCAGCAGAGAGGGCCAGAGGCAGCAGAGCATGTCCACTACTGAGGCCTAACAGGAGGTCCAGTGGGTGCCAGGTGGCTCAGTACTGGTGTTCCAGCAGGGGCTGGGCTGCCGGACTTTCCCGCTCCTCAGCATGGGCAGGCCAGTCGCCTGGGGCGCCTGTAGGTGTGCCACTCTCAGGGCCACTGCTGTCCAAGCAAGGAATGTCCTGGGCAACTCTTGGGGGCGAGGCCTCAGTGCTGACATCCGGGCTGAGGCTGAGGCTGAGGCTGAGGCTGAGGTCTAGAGGCGCCTGGGGGAGGGGAGAGAGGTTGGCAGGCGAGCAGGCCTGAGCCTTCTGGGACCCAGCCCTCCCATAGGCGCCTTACCTGAGATTTGGGGGTACCTCCTTTGGGGCTCCCTGAGGCTGGCTCCCCATCAGATCCTCCCAGGCCCTTCCGGCCCCCCAGGCTCCACTTCCCACTAGGACCCTCAGAACCGAGGAGACCAGGACCAGGGGGTCGTGAGGTCCGGGGACCCTCTGTGGGGGTAGGCGATGCAGGGGGGGGTCCAGGGAGCCGAGGGGGAGGCCACTGCAGCAGAGGAGGGGGGCGCCCATCACCAGAGCCACTCAGGGAGGGCCGAGGCCCCCAGCCAGGGCCTAGTGGGAGGGGTTGGTCACCATTGCCTGTAGGAGACAGATAAGACAGCAGAGACCTCAGCTGGGCTATACTCCTTGCCTATGGGTTCAGCCCAGCCTTGCCCCTCACCTGCCGTGTTCTCAGGCGTGGGGTGTGTAACAGGAGGGTTATTGCTGAGGGAGGTCAGGCCACCGCCCCCACTACAGTCTGAGTCATCCACGTTCCCGCCACTATTGCAGCCAGCGCCGCAGCCCTTGTGAAGCCTGGGAGTGGGAGAGGTAGAAAAGAGATCAGGAGGGACACAGCTGAGGCCAGAGGCCTCACAACACGAGTCCTCAGCCCCAAGATAAATCATCAACACCTCTGAGCCCCAGGATCCTCCCCTTGAAAAGGCTGCCCCCTACTTTGGTGGGTGTTTTGAGGGTGGCGCTGTCAACAGTACTTAACGGCTAAAGGCCACTGTCAGCTCTGGGGGTAAGGTGACATCCAGGAGGGGCAGGTCAGCTCTGGAAGGGGGTCATCTCCCGGGATTCCAGCCCTGGCTCCGGCACATCCTCCCTCTGAGACCCAGGAGGCAGGTGCTGCACCTCGGCTTCCTCCCATGCCACGTCACCCCTTCCCGGGGCCTCACCTTTCCCAGCTGCGCAGGAGCCAGCGGGCAATGGCACCCAGGCTGATGGGGCCACCCCACAGCGCCCGCAGCTGGGGGTGGCTGCCAGCCAGTGAGGTGGTGAGAGGCGACACATAGATGGGGTAGCCCAGCGGCTGGTCACAGGAGGAGTTGATCATGTTTCGAAGCGCTTGCTTGGCGTTCTGGATGCTACCACGCTCAGGGTTTCGGTTGCGCAGGAACACCAGCTCCTGCTGCTGCCCGGCCCACAGACCACGCACGCATTCCCGGTTCACCTGAGGGCCACACGCCAGGGTCAGGGGGCCAGCCCAAGGGGGGTTGGGGGCAGGGCTCAGGGCAGGTGGGGCTAGCCCCACCTTGATGACTCGAAAGCTGAGGTGGCGCCGGTTGAGCATGATGATCTTGTACTCATCCGAGGCATCGTCCAGGACATGGCGCAGCGCCAGCAAGGAGGGCGTGTTGCTGAGGATGGCACTGCGCCAGGCCGGGTCACCCTCATGTGAGATGACCAGCCGCTCCTCGTTGGCTGCAATAGCATCGTATAGGGCTGCGGGCTCCTCATATTCATCTGGGGACGTGAAGTGGTCCTGGTGAGGAAAACGGGGGGACTGGGGTCAGTGGCCCTGCCCTGGAGAAAGGCTTCATCCACCACCCGCCCGTGCTGCTGTGCACACCCCTCCCCAACCTGGTGAAGCTTGAGGGCCATGCGAACCCCAGGTGCCACAACGCGGTGAAGCAGGTCCATGTCAGCAAAGACCCACTCGTCACGTGGGGAGGTGATGCGAAAGTCTCCCTTGAACAGGGCATGTAGGCCGTAGAGGAAGGGCTCCAGGCTAAGCAGGAGGAAGATCAGGGAGGGGAGAGAGTGGTGTGGAGGACCCAGGGATAAGGCTTCAGAGTGATCCAGGCAGAGGCCTTTCCTCACGCTGGGCCTCAGTTTCCCCATCCTGACAAAGAGGCTAATCTCTGCCCATGTCTCTCACAGAGCATTGAGGAGCAGGCAAGGTTGTGACCGAGAAGTGCCCTGCCCGTGGGAGAAGAACTATCCCAACAGGAAGGACCACCATGGTTTCTGCGGCCTCTGTGGCCAGAGACCACAGAGCTCCGGGTGGAAGAGGTGGGGTGGGGACGGCAGCAGCCCCAGCACGACCCCCGAGCACTCACCTTGCAGACATGCTGTGAGATGCCGTCCCTAGGGCCCGGCGGCCCAGCACACACAGGCCAAAACACAGCGTGACCAGCGGGGAGTTCCAGTCCTGCTCCACAGGCTGTGGCATAAGGACCCCCGTCCCAACTCAGACCTGGGACAGGGAACTTGGGGTGGGGGCTGGGGTGCAGGCCAAGGGAGGCTCAGGGTAAGAGGACACCAAATGGGGAGCAGCGGAGTGGGGAAGCCCAGGTCCCACAGCCCCAAGTGTCAGCCACGGGTAGTGGAGCCTGACCTGGCTGCGCCGGGAGGCGCAGTACTGGATCCACTCGAGGTGAACCGCGCAAAAGGAGGGCAGCGAAAGGCCAGACAGGCGAAGGTCATAGTCCTCATCCACGCTCAGTGAGAAGGTGGGATCTGAGTCGGCATAGCCAGGAGCACGCACAGGCCGCAGGGCTGCCGAGATACCCTCGTGGCTGAGCCACGCCTCCAGCTTTGGTGAGCGGCTCACGTAGTAGATGATGCTCTAGGAGAGGAGCGGCAGGCGTCAGGCCGGGGTCCCCACCCTGCCTACTGGAGGAGACAGCATCGAGGCTCACAGGCTCCTCCCCCAGACTGAGCTATGTCTACTTTCTGGGGCGCTCTTCTCCTACAGCTGCCGTCTCAGCTCTCAAGAGCAACCAGGCAAGTTGGCTCCTTCCCCTAGGCCAGGGAGGAGGAACGACAAAGCTGCCAGGAAGTAACCACTTACAGAGCGGGAAGTCCCAAGCCGAGGCCAGCACTCAGGCAGCATCTGCCTGCCTCTGCCCTAGGATATGCCCCGTTTATATAGAAAACTGAGGCTCAGGCAGATGGCAGCCCCGGAAGAGTACAAGATCATCATGCTCAACATGCACCACCTCAGCTTCCAAGTCATCAAGTTAGGGCTGGTCCCACCTGCCCTGAACCCTGTCCCTCACTTGCCTCGGGCCAGCACCCTGACCCTGGGGTGTGACCCTCAGGTGAACCTTCGGTGCCTGTGCAGCCTGTGGGCTGGGCAGCAGCAGGAGCTGGTGTTCCTGCACAAACAGAACCTGGAGCACTGCAGCATCCAGACGTCGCATGGACGGGGGGCAGGGGCAGTGGGGGGGTGGCACAGACTGAACTGCAATCTGAACCCTATATCTTATCCACCATGACATTATGGGATCCATCTCAGGGCCGGAAGCACAGACTGAATAGTGGGTCTGCCTCTGAGCGCCTGGGTCACAGGTCCCTTTAGGCAGCTGAAGCATGACAGCCATCAGGCCTGTCCTCAGAAAGAAGCCACAGGCACATCTGGTACCCAAAGCTGGGGGTTCCTGGACCTCTTGTTAAGAGGCCCTGTTGGTTATAAGCATCTGATTGGACAAACATACAGGAGCTTTGGAAGGCAGGTAGCTGGCATGGCCAGGATGCACAGGCTGGTTAAGCTGGCAGGGCAGCCAGTGAGGTCACAGGGGTTCCACGTGCCACCCCAAGATGGAGCAAATGGGGCAGGCCCTTGGCCAGGACAGACCCAAGGGACTGACCTTCTTGCCCATAGCTCGCCTCTACAATCCAGGCACCACCAGCGCTGCTAAAACGACTCAGAAAAGCAAAGCTTCGGCTAGGCATGGTGGCTCACACCTGTAATCTCAGCACTTCAGGAGGCTGAGATGGGAGGATCACTTGAACCCAAGAGTTCAAGACCAGCCTGGGCAATATGGGGAAGCCCCATCTCTACAAAAAATACAAAAATTAGCCAGGCGTGGTGGTGTGCACCTGTAGTCCCAGCTACCTGGGAGGCTGAGATGGGAGGATTGCTTGGACCCAGGAGGCAGACATTGCAGTGAGCCCATCTGGCACCACTGCCTTCCGGCGGGGGTGATAGAATGAGACCTTATCTCAAAAAAAAAGAAAGAAAAAGGGAAAGCTTCAGGGACAGGGGGAGGAGCTGGCCTGGCACATATCAGGTGCTTGGTTAACCTTCACCAGCACCATCATTTTCTCTGACATGGCTCTGCCTGTGAGCGCTCACTGTGAGCGCTCACTGTGAGCTGGGCTCTGCCCAAGGCACTTCCCGGGAAGCACTGCCCGGATTCCATGCAGCCTCACCACAGTGCCTTTCCCTGCTCTCGTGGTCTTTCCCAGCTGCATGGGCCAGTCTGGGAGCCCAGCAACTCCCATGGGAAGGGCAAAGCTCACGGGAGGTGTTCTGCCCTGTCTGGCCAACCTAGAAGGCTGCAAAGGACCTATCCCTGCAGCTGGGACACTGCCCTCGATGCACCAGGCTCCCTGGCATACCCACCTCCCCGCAGCCCTGACTTGTCCTTCCAAGCTTCACTTTCAGTCCACATCCTCAGCGGAGCCTCCCCAGGTCCTCCAGGCATCTTCACCAGACCCAAATTCTGCCCAGCCTTTAAGGAAGCCTTAGATGTGGCAAGTTGGCTTCCCCATGGGACAAGAGACCTGGTAGGGCGCATCTCAACCTGCCGGCCCTGGCCTGGCAGACCAGCAGGGTGACCTGGGCAAGACGGGACCAGAAGGTCGAGCGGGCTATGACCACTGGGTGACCTAGGGCTGGGAATGTCCCTCTCTAGACTCAGCCTCCTTCTTGATAAAAGGGAGATGGTCTCACAAATCCTTGCCTAAGAGTGGCTAGGAAGGCAGAAGGAACAACAAAAAAATGACAGCTCTTCTGAAGTGTGGCGTGGACAGGATTTCCTTTGGAGGCAAAAGGACAGCCAGGGCTGCATAAGACTACCCCAGAGAGGGCCTAGGTGGCAGGCTCACCTGGGACCCAATAGGCCACCCCCACAGCCCAACACAGGGAGCTCCGGGGCAGACCCTGAGAAGGCATGTGGGAGTTTGGACTGTGAACAGCAACTCACCCCACTCCAAGGACCTTATTCTGGGCACCACCACAAAGCCTCAAAATTTCTTTTTTTTCCCCCTGAGACAGAGTCTCGCTCTGTTGCCCAGGCTCAAGGACAGTAGCATGATCTCAGCTCACTGTAACCTCTGCCTTCTGGGTTCAAGCGATTCTCCTGCCTCAGACTCCCAAGTAGCTGGGACTACAGGTGCCCACCACCTCGGCCCTCATATAGGCACCGAGGAATGAGAGCTAAGCAGAACCCTGGTACAGTTAGGGCTTGAGGAATATCTCACTTCATAGTGTTACTACTCGGCTATTTCCTTTTATATAATCCTTTACGTAATCATATATTAGTTTATAGAAATAGGGCTTGAAGGCTCCCTTTATGTAATCCTTTATATATAATCATTAATAGTTGATAGTATCAGTGCCTAAAGAATGTTTCCCTACATATATACCTATAATTATATCTTAGTTTATAATCGGAGGAATGCCTAGAGTGGACACAGTACAGAGCATGAATTAAAGGATAAGTAGCTTATAATCGGAGGAATGCCTAGAGCAGACACAGTGCAGAGCATGATGTAAGGGAAAACAGTTATACCAGGACAAGAATCCATGTCCTAGGCGGCAGCGTTCAATATTGTAAAGATACCCGCTGTATGGCAGGCTTGGGGCGAGAGCCACTCCTCCTGATAAAGGAGTTGTAGGACCTTGCTCCAGTTCTTGCAGAAGGCTGCCCTCAGAACGGCAATCCACCTTGGTGACTGTGAACTTTATCAGCTCTTGCTACTGTGCTGCTTGAAAAGCATCTTCCCATAGAACCCACTGGAAGCTGCCAGAAGGTGGCGGTAACCTTGACAGCTCTGTCACTGCTATGTGACTTAAAGCATCCTCCTATAAGTCTTCTTAGAAGTAGTTTTCCCATAGATAGAAGTATAGCATACTGCACCCTCTTCACTGCGCATGGCCCACCTTCAAGCCTCAGTGACCTAATGGGGGTGGACCCCTTACTGCACACGGCCCTTGCCTTCATGGGAATGGGCCCCTTGCTGTGCACTGTCTACCTCCTGGCCTAGGTGACCTAATGGGGGTGGACCCCATGTTTTATTGCTCACGACCCCATCACTATCCTTAAAGATTATTTCACTCGCTGCCCTGCCCCCTAACCTATACACAATAAATACTCACGCTTCTGGACATTCGGGGCCTCGCCTGACTCCGCTTATAGGTGGCATGGCCCCCCGAGCCTAGCTGCATTTTCCTTGTACTTCTGTGTCCTGTCTCTTTATTTCTCGGATCCTGCGCCTCAGCACAGCATAAGGCACACCCCATGAGCCCGTGGGGCACTCAGCCTTACATCTGGCTCCCAACGTGCCCTACAAAGGCCAGCTAATTTTTTTTTATTTTTAGTAGAGATGGGGTTTCACCACATTGGCCAGGCTGGTCTCAAACTCCTGACCTCAGGTGATCCACCCGCCTTGGCCTTCCAAAGTGCTGGGAATACCGGTGTGAGCCACCATGCCCAGCCAAGCCTCAACATTTCTGCCGTCTCACAGAACTGCAATAACCCCCACTTCTCAAGGGATAAGCTGAGGCACACAAGGGAGGAGACATTCTAGGCTGATCAGAACCCCCATCCCAGGGCTCCTTATGCACCCCACATTGCCTCACCAGCTCCCACCACCTCCACGAGGTCTCAAGATCCTCAGGCCTGGCTCAGGTTGAGGCAGGAAAGCTCTGTGGCTCAGAGGGCCAGCCTGGGTTCAAGGCCTGGTTTGGCCACTTTCTTCAGATTCTACAACTTTTGCAAGCCAACTTCCACATCTGTAAGATAGCAGGGCCCCTCTCAAAGGGTGGGAGCTCTACCCAGCTCAGGAAAGATGCCCAGCGCAGGGCCCACCCACGGTAAACACTACTGCTCAGGAAGTGCTCCCGTGAGATCATTAACACAACCACAGTTAGTTTCACCATGCTCGGTGCGGAGTGAGCCAGGGCAGGGGACTGGTGGTTTCAAAGACTGGCTTCCACAACTGCCCACCTGTCCTATACGCACTGCCCATACACAAGCCTTCCTTGCCCTGGGCCCCTATCATCAGAACCACATGGGCACAGAGGCCCCTGCTACCTGAGGTCTGGCAGTGGTACCTTGGGGGACACTTAAACTGAGGCCTCGGCTTCCCTTGGCCAAAACAGGCTCCCAACAACCCAGAGGCAGGTAATGGGGTCTCCTGCACCAAGCGCTCACCCTTGGGCTGTGCTGCCCAGCCGTGCCTGCCCACCGTACCTTCACGTAGTAGGTAATGAGAATCTTGCGGAGGTCGAAAACCTGTAGCATGGAGGCGGCGTTGTTGTCACTAATGCTGTAGCCCTCCAGCACATACTTGCTGGCTGTCACCTCCCAGGCCAGCCAGCGCTGCCCAAAGGCAGCATTGAAGGACAGGACCCGAGGCAGGTGGCCGGGCTCGCAGCAGCAACAGCCCTCGTCCTCCTCCACACCCTCCGTGATGGCCTCCACCTCGCGCTGCTGGCAGTAAGTGCCTGCGGGAGAGGAGTGTGCAGTCAGGGGCAGCCAGGATAATCCCTATCCTGCCCTGTCCTGGGAAAGTGACCAACATGGCATTAGACACCTGCTGCCATTCAGCCCCCGGATGCCAGGGGAGTCAACCTTATTGGATGAAAGGATTCATAAAGGAGTGCCTGCCTTTCTCCTCCCAACTCCCAGCATCAAAGGGCAGGGCAGGAGGGGGCGGGGACACAGGGTCTGGCTCCTCTGCACTCGTGGGGCATCCAACACACACGTCTTCCTGAGAGGAAGGGGCTGGCTCACTCACAGCACCCAACCTGTGGGCCAAGCCTAAAACCACAGAGCAGGCCGGGGGTGCTGGCGTTGAGAACCCAGACCTCCAGGCCCAGGCCCTCACTGCAGCAATCTGTAGAGTCACTGGGACCTAAAGGCAGGGTAGGTGCAGGTTTGGCCAAGAGACCCTGTCACCTCATTGCTCAGATTGGGAAATGCAGGCCCTGGGAGGAGGAGTGCCTTGCCCAAGGCCACTTGCCAGCCCTGGTAGAGCTGGACTGGACCTTGCTCCGACATGCCATCGAACGCAGCGCCCGTGTCAGGCCCAAGCCGCACCTGCCCACCCGAGCCTAGTCCCGAGGCTCACCCCGGAACTCAAGGCCACGCAGCTGGAAGGTGACAAGGCCATTGCCAACCTCGATGAGGTGTACCAGGGCGTTGAGGTAGTCGGAGGCCAAGACGAAGCAGTCGCCAGGGCCATAGTTGCCCCAGCGGCCCAGCGCCAGGTCCCCACAAAGCGTGTGCTGCAGAGAACGTGTCAAGTGCTCATAGAAGATGGAGTTGAGGTTATTGTCATCAGCGCCTAGGACCCAGGACAGACAAGCAAATGGACAAAATGACAAGTTAGCTAGCTTGTCTCCCGCCCCAGGGAGGCCCTGCTCTAAAGCCCCTCAGATGGCTGGGTACACACCAGGGTTCCGGTCCAGCTGTGTGACCAGGCGGGTGTTGGAATGATCCACGCGTTTAGTGCTGTTCAGAGAGAGAACAAGGCGGTCAGCCAAGACGGCAAAGAAAGTGTGCGCCCTGCTCATGCTCTCCCTGTGCCCCAAGGCCAATACCATCCATGATGGCCCGATTACACGGGCAGATGAGGAGACTGAGGCTCAGGGACATGAAGGGACTTGTACAGGACACACAGCCAGGCAGCAGGGAGGCTGGGCTCACCCCGGGGCCCCACTGCCCCCACATTGTGAGCCTGAGACCTTGGCCTGGCGCAGGCCCTGCCCTCATCGGATCCGCCGCCTCAAGTGTCCCCACTGCACCCACACCCTCTCACACCTGCTGCAGCCCCTCTGTGGATGGCCTCCAGCTTGGGATCCAGACCCCTCCCTTCCTGCCCTGCTGAGCATGCTCCTGCCTCCTGTGAGACTCACTTGTAGTCACGTTCCCAGAACTTGAGGGGCCGAGCATAGGACATGATGAAGACGGCACTGCCCAGCAGTGGGTTGAGTGGCGTGGAGAACAGCCCCGAGAGCAGGGCCTGGACGAACAGCATGGCCGAGTCTGAACCACAGTCAAGGAGACAGCAGGCGGCGGGACATCCTGACCCCCCACCACCTCCACCGCACCATGCCACAGCCTTCCCTGCCCACCCCCACCCAAACACAGGCCGGATACGGGGCACAGCAAAGGGCTGGGCAAAGGCGTGAAAAGCCGAGCCCCAGGTGATCTGCCAGGGCGCGATGTAGGTCAGCACGAAACGCAGCTTGTACAGCAGGTCCCACAGCTGGCAGGGCCGGCAGGGAGAGGAAGAAGGCATGCACGGTCACTCATGGAAGCCCCCAGATGCCAGGTCCCCATTCAGAGGCTTGGGTCATGGCCCACTGGGGCCAAGCTTAAGATCACTGCCAGCCCTTGTGCTCTGGATATGGCTCAAGGCTCCTGATACCATTAGCAACCCCTGCCGGAGCTCTAAAGGAGCAGTAGCCATTTAGTTCACACAACTACCCAGGCAGCTTCTTATTCTTATGGCTGGCCCCATTTCACAGATGGGAAAGCTGAGGTTCAGAGAAAATAGAGACAGTAAATGACTTCCTCGGGTCACACCACTACGTCACTAGTGAGGCTGGAGCTAGACTATGGTACTGAAAGTCAGGGACAGTCACAGGCTCTGCCCTCAGAGGGTATGCAGTGTGGACACCCGACATCCTCGGCCAGGCCAGAAAGCAAGAACAGAACGTCCAAGTGAGGGAGAAAAAGCCTCAGGCCTGCCTGGGGTTCCAGGCACCACCGCTGGCCTCCAGTAGAGTGCAGGAGAATGGTCCTTAGTTCAAAGTGACTCCCAAAGCCCTGGAATGCCACAGCCCGGCAGAGCACCTATACACCTATACAGCTCAGGCCCTCGGGGCTTCCGAAACTCAGCTCTGACTGCTCTGGATCCAGGGTGGCAAAGGGGCACGGAACCCAGAGGTGTGCCTCCAGGACAAGTCCAGGTCCTGACTACCCCAACCATTTTGGAGGAGGTGGCCGTGGGGTCAGACAGGCCTGGGTTCAAATCCTGGCTGACCACCAATTCCCTGAAAGACTGAGGCAAGTCCCTCTACCTCCTTCAGCCTCAGTCTCCTCTCTGTAGGCAGTAGAAGTAACCCCTTCCTCGAGAAACTGCTGCAAAGGCCCATGGGGCTGATATAGAGTGGTGGCCACAGGGCCTCAGGAAATTCTCTTCCCATCCAGGCAGAAGTCGGCTCGGCTCCCATTGGGCAGCCTGGTGTCCTCACCTTGCTGCAAAGCAGGGACATGAGGAAGTAGTCAAGCAGAAAGCCCTGGGAGAGGCGTGGGTAGTCGAAGTGGAAGAGCAGGACAGTGAAGGCCAGTGTCAGGTACTGCTGGGGTGGGCAGCAGAAGGCCGAGCGCAATAGCTTCAGCCCAGCCACAGTCATCAGCAGGGCCCGGCAGCTGTAGGTGAGGAGCAGGCATTGGGTGCTCGGTGGGGGACAGGGGCAGTAGGTCCAGGTGTCCCATCCCTCCCCTGCCCTGGCCTGAGGGCAACCCCAGGCTTCTGCTCTACTAGGCTGGCCCCTGCTCTTTCAGGCCCGTGACTCTTAGTCTCTGCTCTTCTGGGGGTGGGGAACACATTTGCTTTCAAAGAGGCAACCACTTCATGGGACGCCGTGTCAGGAGCTGGGGTCCTGCTTTAGCTTGCTGAGCCACCTTAAACATGACTCATTCCCTCTCCGGGCCGCAGTTTCCCCGTGGATCAAAAGGGAATGTGGATGACAGGACCGTCAAGGGAGGGGTGGTCCTCACTAGAGACAGTACTTGTCCGGGTGGCTGACGACTGTGTGGGCGTCCACCGTGAGGGCATTGAGCACCACGGCGGGGTAGATGAGGTACTTCTCTACGCACTGCAGGCCAGCGTACAGCTTCTCAAACCACATCACCTGGGCGGCACCTGCGGAGAGGCCAGGACTGTTGGCCAGCACCTGGCTTCCACACGCCCGCCTTCCCTGAGGAAGTCCTTCCCTAGGAGGGCAGGCAAACCACAGGCTGTGCTGTCCTGGGTCCTCAGACTCCGCAGGGGAGGAACTGATCTGTAGCAGCTCAAATGAGAGCAACGAGCCCCAGGAGGGCAAGGGCTCCACATACCACTTAGCACATCGAGGCTTGCTCTATGGTGGGCGCTCTGCCCTGTTTTGCAGTCTGTGAAAACAAGGCCAATGAGGAAATCACAAATGCCCACGTACAGCAGGCCGGCTAGGGCCCAAGTGCACAGTGGGCCTGCATGCTGGTCCCTTCTAAAGGGCACCCCTCGGCTCAGGTTGGCAAAATCTTCTGTTGTTTTAAGAAAAACAAGAAACAGCCGGGCACAGTGGTTCATGCCTGTAATCCCAGCGCTTTGGGAGGCCAAGGTGGGCAGATCATGGGGTCAAGAGATGGAGACCATCCTGGCCAATATGTGAAACCCTGTCTCTACTAAATATACAAGAATTAGCTGGGCATGGTGGCAGGCGCCTGCAGTCCCAGCTACTCAGGAGGCTGAGGCAGGAGAATCACTTGAACCCAGGAAACAGAGATTGCAAAAAAACAAAAAAGAAACCAAGAATAACGGATCCTCATATCACAAATTGAGACACTAAAATACAGACTCCAGAATTTTTAAAAAACCATTACACAGCTCGGTAAAAATGTGCTCCAGGCAGATCTGGTCCACTGGTGACCAGTGTTTACTTCTGGACAAGAGATCCCTTCAGGGCCCTGGGGTTCTCATTCTTCCATCTCCTCACAGATGGCAAGGAAGGCAGGACTAGGGCAATGCAGGCAAGGTAAGGGCACAGTGGGGCACAGGGAGAAGAGTGGGTGGAGAGCGAAGCCGGGCAGTGGGAACACAGAGGGGAGGGAGAGTGCAGAAAGGGTAGTGTGGGCAGCGGGTGCCCCCTGCTGGCACTCCTGAGCAAAGAGGACCACAGCTCCCACCAGCCAGGCTGCAGCCTGAACCACTGCCCAGGCCTGGCCATCAGGGGCAGGCACTCACCACGCACTTCGTACTGGCTGTACTCCAGCGGCTTCAGCACAGGCTGTGACAGGCAGAACCAGGGCAGCTGTTTGCGGAGTTGTGGCAGCAGGTAATGTGTGAAGAAGCCCACGGCCCCAGCCAGCGCATACAACACGAAACCCAGCACCGACTACAGGAGGGAGAGGTCAAAGGCTCAGCTGATGGGAGCAGGCCAAGGGGCCACAGAAGGCCACCCGGCACAGGCCGGGGAGGGGTTGCCCAGGGCCCTCAGATGGAACAGGCTCCCACCAAGACAGCCAGAGGTGGCAGCCCATGCCACACAAACCTTCAGGGCAATGAAGACAGTGCTGGCGCTGATGGCGAAGGTGAGCACGGCAATCACCACACACATCACCAGGTCGGAGTGCAGGACCTCACGCTGCAGGGCCAGGAGAGACACTCAGCTGCCCAGCGTCCCAGGCTGGACACACCCCTCCTAGGACCCCCACCGTGCAGGACCTGCCACCACCTCCCCATAGAACCACAACTCCTGGCCCCTTACCACCGACTGACGCATCTTGTCCGGCAGGGGGTCCGGGGGCTCGGCCCGGGCTGTCTCCAGGCTGCGCTCCTCTAGCTCAGAGAAGAGCTTGCTCCGGATCAGAGACCTGGGGGTGAGGAAGAGTCAGGAGGAGGACGCCCCTCCCGCCCCCCAGCCCCAGTCAGTCATGGGCACATGCACAGACCACAAACCCCTACCATGCAGACACAAACACACACCCAGAGCACACACACCAGGGCGAGCACAGGCACGTGCGGGCACCCACCAGAGCACGGTGGGGTCACTGCTCTGCCGGCTCAGGTGGTAGGACAGCGCCACCAGGAGGCCACAGAAGACGGAGAAGAGGACAGGGACGTGCTGCTCCGGCCATGGAGTCTGGGGAAAGAATACATGCTGGTCACGGGAAGTGAGGTAAGCACAGGGCCCGGGTTGCCCGTGTGAGAAGCCACTGCGGAGCCCAGTTCACAGCCCCACCCCAACCACCCCCACACACCGCAGCATGCCCCTACCCTGCAAGCCACCCTACCTTGATGGCCCCAAGGCAGAAGCCATAGAGCAGGGCAGCGGCCAGCAGGCTTCGGAAGAGGCTGAAGACTGCAGTGAGCGGGCTGGTGGCAGCTGCGTGGTGGGGAGGAGTACAACCCAGCTCTTACCTGTGGGTACCCCACCTTACCCCCAGCCCGGCTGCCCCTCAATTCCGAGGCTGGCCTCCCTGGAACGGCACCCCTAGTCCATTGTTCTCTGCTGCCCCCAGCCCCAAGTGACCTTCAGAGCTGCCAGGATTCTCACATTTAAACCACTTGCCAGGGAGGGCAGGAGGGGAGAGAAGCAGGGGGAAGAGCAAAGAAAAGGGAGGGGAAGGGGAGGAGACAACAGGGGAAAGATGGGAAGGGGAGGGGCAAGGGACCCTTGAATCTGCAGTACAGATACGGGGGAAGGTTCCAGAAGGGTGGAGCCGCAGACCCAATCTGAGGGCCCTCCTGGGCCTCTGCAGGGCCCCACCGGAGCCACCTGCAGGCGTCCTACCTGTGCCCCCGAAGCCGTGCATATCTATCTGCTCCAGCAGGTACATGAGGCAGGTGTTGACCTGGGGCAGGAGGCCCAGGAGGAAGACGAAGGGGAAGCACAAGGTGAACACTGGCAGAGAAGGAACACGAAGGCCCAGTCAGCCTGCTGGCCTTCCGCAGCCCATCATCGGGACTCACTCTCCTGGGCCGCCGCAGCCCTGCCCCAGCCTCACCAGTGGCCACATCTCGGGCACAGAAGAAGAAGGAGGCGGAGAAGAGCGTGAGGCCGTAGAGGGAGACGGGTGGGAAGGGCTGAGTGGAGCCCAGGGCGTCCAGCAGCCAGATGAGCAGACAACAGATGCAGAAGTAGACGGGCCGGCTGTACGCGATCACCCAGTTGTGGCCCTGAGGGGTCAGCCCATGAGGAGCTGGGCCTCCCCCACTGGCCACGCCTCTGGCACATGCACACACTCACAGGCCCCAGGCCTGGCCCTGGGTCCAAGCTGGAAAGCCTGGCCAGGTAGGGGTGATGGGGGTGGTGAGGGAGCCCAGGCCCTCCATGCCCCACCCTCATCCCCACCTGGTCTCAGCCCCTCCTGTGGCCTTTTGCCCAGAGGCACTTCTCCATGGGTACTCACATGCATGGGGGACGCCGCATCAGGCTGGACACTCTGGAAGAGACAGGGCTACGTTGGCAACTAGAGCCGGTGCCCATGGGATGGTCAGAGGCCCCGGACCTGTTCAGCTCCACCACTGGGCAGTTATGAGTGACCAGGTCAGAACCGCAAATCGTCCTGAGCCTCAGTTTTCTTGCTTGTAAGAGAGCTGGCCGGCTCTAGGGAACCTTAGGCAAATTATCTACCTTTCAGCTTCTACCCCTCAAAACTGGAGTTGTGGGAAGGGCAATCTTGGGGAAAAGCTGGGCGGGGAGCAAACACAGGGAGCCCAGCCTGACCTTCAGCAGGGAGTACTGGCAGGAGGCGATGACCAGGCAGAACTGGAAGACCCAGATGTCGGTGAAGAAGCCCTTGAGCAGCAGCAGGTAGCCCAGGAAGGCCACGAGGCTGCTCAGGCCCACGCCGAAGACGTTCTCCAGCACCCCCCGCGTCCTGCAGGGACAGCCGAGTCAGGGCATGCCCGTACTGCCTCACCTTCCAGTGGGGCAGTGGGGGAGATGGATCTAGCCCCAAAGGCCCATCGAGGGACCCCGCCCATGCCAGACCTTTGTCCTCTGAAGATGTGAACACCTGCTCCAGAGGCCATTCCACTGCTCCCTCCTTCCCAAGTTTTGCTGGCCCTGGACACCGAGGCTCAGGGTGCCATCACTCCCATGATTCTCCCATCCCCAGCTGAGGCTGAGTTAACTGCATGTGGCTACATCATGCACGCTACCTCAGGCATGCCACGCTATGTGCATGGGACCAGCACCCAGTCACTGTCTAGAGAAACCCAGAAGGACGATGAGCCACATGGGCTCTAGGCTCCAGTTCTCTACAACAGACAACCAAAGTTATCTGACTTCTCTATCAGATTTTCTGGAACTCGGTATCCCCTCTGAGAAATGGGAAAGATGAGATAACTTGTCTGTGAGCTTTTCTAGGTTACAGTACTTGATTTTCAAATCAACAGAAGCTAATAAAGAAAGCGAATAGGACATGAGATTTTTTTCAGAAGGACTTTGGGATAGACAGGGTAAACACAGCACCACCCACTGGGCCACCCCCTTACACCCCAAATGAACCTAAGAAACCACCACTGCAGACTCCAACCAACACCACGCCCTCAGCTGCCCGCAGTCAGCCTCTCTGCTGCCATGACTGCCTCCACAGGTACAGAGTCTGGGGAGCCACGGTCTAGGGGCTTTCTAAGAATTGGGGTCCAAGACTGCGGGGCACTCACCGGTCCAGCAGAGCCAGCAGGGCGAGCCGCTCATAGCGCACAGAGGTCCATCGGCCAGGGAGAAGCCAGTACTTGTAGCTATGCTGGGCCCGGGGTGGCGCTTCTTCCATCAGCGTCTGCTCCTGGGATTCGTGCAGGGAGTCCTGGTCCAGCAGGTCAAACTGCAGTCCCCACAGCCGCGGCCGTCAGCCCCACAACCCCCCACACGGTCTACTGTTACCCCGCTTCAGCACACCAGCCTGGTTGACCATTTCCATCAGCACAGAAAGACTCTCTTCTAGCTGCCCTGGATCCCACCTGAACCCTTCATCCCAAGGGACTCCTCCTCTCTCCAGGTTCCCAAGACATGGCCCGATGGCTGTCTAGAGTCACCAGCTCCCACGCCTGTCTTCCCCAGTAAGGCAGACTCTCCCACCTCTTCTGAGGCTCAGGGAAATCCACTTGACCTTTGGCACAAATGCTACGCTCCTCCCAGACAGAGCCATTCACTGTCACTCTGATTACCCCATCAGAGAGTACATGTAGGGCTCAGCCTTGAGGACAGGCCTGGGTGCCAACGCCAGTTCTGAGGCCCTCGGCACATTACTTGACCTCTCTCACTTCTTGTATGCTTCACTCAGCAAGTACTTGCAGGGCCCCAGCTATGACCTGGCCCTGTGCTGGGCTCTGAGGATAAAATGGAGAGCCTGGGCACACAGCCCTTCCCTCTGGAGGTGGCTGCTGGCCGTGCTTCCACCCCACATGGTTAGGAGGAATAAACCAGGAGGTGGCAGGTGGGAGCTTCTGGGGGCTACTCAGCCTATCTGTGGCCTTGGGGGTCAGGCGCCAGGGACCCTTTTATGAACATTCTTTAAATTCTGAAATATTTTGCAAATTCTTAGTGCTTTTGGTGTTAACAAATTAATGACATAAACTGACTATCAAATTAGGATGTTCTTAAGAGCAACAGAGAACACCATTAACGACTGCAGTGAGACAGGAAGCGTTAACAGAGCACTCCAGCAGCCACAGTGTACGCAGGGCAGCACTGTCACCATGTGGCCGCCGCTTACAACAGAACACTGCCGCTTTTGCAAGTATCATCGTTAACACCTATCGCCCCCGTTAACTGTGGGCCCCTCCGGAGTTAGGAATATATTCCAGAGGCATTTGTAGAATAAGCAAGTAAATGACTTCTCCAGGCATTCAGACCCAGAGCCTCTGCCAGCCATCAAATGTCAGGACAGACACTGTACGGCCCCTGGAGCCCTCACTCAGCACAGCCCGTCCCTCCTGGGGCACCTGGGCAAGCTCTCTATACAGGCCAGGCTCAGTGATCTGCCCACCTCATCACGCCCCACTGGCACAGCCCTTCCCCAGCTGCTCCTCACCTCTGGGATCTCCAGGGGCACCCGGCGCACCTGCATGCCCTGTAGAACCACAGGCCTAGGCTGCAGCAGGTTCAGGCCACCTGTGGCCTCAGGGACATCAGCTGAGTGGAAGCTGGAGGAATGCGAGTGACGGTCCCTGTGAGAATGGCAGCCATTCAGGATGCGACCATGGGCAAGGCCTGGGACTGGGTGGGGTGGAGCCAAAGGCCAGGCAGGTGGGGCTGTCTGTGCCAAGACCAACCGGGGCCCAAGGGACAGAAGTGGTGGAGTCGGGAGGAGGCAGGTCACAGAAGTGCCTCCCTCCCAGGCCCTGGCCCAAGTGTTGAGACTGTGCTCCCTCACCTTCCTCCTGCCAGCCAGCCCTGGGCTTCCTAGAAACTTCCTGCCTGGAGTGTCACAGAGCCAGGGACCCCAGGAATTCTGTCCTTTGCTGCTCCCCATCCTCCTCCTGCAAGTCTGAGCTGCCCCTGCCCTGCGCCCAGCAAGAAGAGAGAAAACTCCAGGCTCAGGGGAACTGCCCAGAGATTCGGGCCGCCAAGACAATGGCCCGGGAGGCCGGGCTTGGGGACTCACCAGGCTCCGTTGGCTGCCTGCTCCCCTTGCTGCCCCACGGGGTTCTCGTAGCCACCTCCAGCCAAGCCAAAGGTGTAGGAGCGCCGCACACCTGGGGTAATTTGTGAGAGATGAGGCAACGTGGCTGGGACGGGAGCACCAAGGCCCAGCTCACGTGGGCCCCTGACCCATCAAATAAGGTGGAGCCCTGTGCTGTGTACCCTGAGAGGGCAGCCCCACCTCTGGACAGGAAAGGGCCTACAGGTCAAGAGCCCAGGTACTGCAGTCACCTCCCCTGGGTTGAGATCTCCCCTCTAGCACAGGCTAAGCCTCTGTTTCCTCATTAGCAAAGAGAGACGACAGAGACACTGTGTCTCAGAGAAGCTGCAAGGATGATGTCTGGCAGTGGGGGCAGTGTACTGGCCACAGGGCCAAGCGAGTACCACTGCTGGGAGGACTCAGGCTGTTGGGGGAAGGCGGGGAGGCACCAGGCTGCTAGGCTTAGGGTAGACTCACCACTTTCATCATAGAAATAGTGCACGGCACCCTCAGAGGTGTCATCAAAGGTGCAGGCCTCGTGCACATTGGCACCGGCCCGGGTGAGCAACAGTGAAGAGGCGAAATGCAGCGCAGAGGGCAGCGTCAGCGCCCGGGAGTGGGAGGCAGCCCGGCCCCGCTGAGCCTCCTGCAGGCTGCTGGAGAGGGCCAGCCCCAGGTCAACTCCAGTTAGAGCCTGAGGCCCCCCCCCAGCCCCCAGTGCCCCTTGGCCCCGCCAGCAGGGTGCTCACCTGGGCGGCGAGCCCATGATGGAGGCTGGAGGGGTGGGGTTGCTGCCCGCATTGTGGCGTCTCCGAATGGCCTGGGTCCGCCTCACACTGCTTGAGCGGTCCCTCCTGCCAGTCTCCTCGGCCGCTGCCCAGAGAGAGGCCCGAAGCATAAGCGACAGATGCTCAGACAGGGCTGGGGGAGTAATGCTACAGACGGTGTTCCAGCAGGGAGTTAAAGGCCTAGTACAACCATGCCCTGGCTCTGGGGCCCAGTCAGGTCACATAGCCACATGCCTCAGTTTCCTCACTTGCAAACAAGGATGACACTGATCTGTCCTGCCCCATCCCACTGGTAATAGGAAAATGAGCATGGATGATCACAGTCCTCAGAGGACAGACTCAGGTGTTAACTACAGAAAGTGGGGCCAGGCGGCAGAGCCCCATGTGTCTAAGAGGTTTGGAAAACAACGTCACTCATCACTGAGCTGACGCTGACTAGGTCCACCCTTACCGGCTCTTTGCCCAAACCCAAGCCCATAGTTCACCTCCCCCAGCCCCTGCCTCTGGAGCCAGCACTCACCTCCCCCCACGGCACCTTCCTCCTGCAGCTCCCCTCGCCAGCCAGGCTGGTTGGCAGCGGGTCCCCTTCGGGCCTCAGCAGGCAGCACAGCAGGCTCACCAGCGGCCTGCTCTACCCCAACCTGGGCCTCCAACTCGGCCTTGGAGCCAGCCAGGGGGGGCCTCAGGACATCACCCCCAGCCCCATCCATGCTCAACACACGGGCATGTGTTTTAGCGCTGGCGGTGCTAGGCGTCCGCTGGGTCCCATATGGCCGCTTGGGGGGCACAGCAGTCCCCTCCTCAGCCCCATGGGGGGCCCTCCGCTTCCGGGGCCCCCCTGCTGCACCCCGGGAGCTCTCAGGGGAATAGCAGGAAGTAGAAGAGGAGCTGTCAGTACTGTAGCGGCGCTGCGATCGGAGACTAGAGGCTGGGCTCAGTTCACTGCCCTCACTCGTATCTTCATCCTCAAAGAAGCCCCCACCTTCAAGCAAGGGCCGTCGAGGGGCATGGCCAGGTGGAGAGTGTCTTTGAAGGGGTGGTTGCCGTTTGCTAGGCCGCAGCAGGGCCAAGTCCTTGGGCCGCACAACCAGGAGCGGCTCAGCTGGGCCCGGTGGCGTCCCTGCTCCAATGACCGTGTCAAAGGAACGCAGCGTGTCATCTGAAGGGACCCCAGCATCTGGTGAGGCAGGCAGCTCAGCCTCAGAGGGTGGGTCTGTGTCGCTGCCCTCAGGGGCTTGCCCCCCTGGGGGGCTGTCCAGATGGGTGGAGTTGGTCTTCTCACTCTTAAAGCTGCTCAGTGTCTCCCTGTCAGTGCCACTGAAGCAGGAGTCTGAGGAGCCGGCTTTCTGGGGCGTGGGTTCCCCTGAGCCCCGCCGGTCAAGGGGCTGGTAGCCGCCTGCCCCCCTGCGTTGTTCCCGTCGACTGCTGGTCCTCACCAGGGCCCGGTCAGGCCGGGTCAGGGTCAGGAAGCTCTTGCTCAGCTCCTGGCTGAGGCTCCCCTTCAGCAGGGGGCTCATGGGAGTATCAGCCATGCCGCTCCCACTCCAGGGCACTCCATCTCCAGCCAGGGGGGAAGGCTCTGAAGAGTCTGTACTGGGAAGAGAGGGGTCCACGACAGCCCCAGGAGGCGTCTGGGGAAGGTCTCCAACTGCCAGAAGAAAGGGAGACAGAAAATGAGAAAAGAACTTTCTGCAAAAGAGACTGGTGGTTAATGGGGATCTTATGCCCTGTACTTTCCCTGAGAGCCAGGCCAAAGCAGCACGCTGGGGAGGTCCCATAGAGAAGTACAGAGGAAACCCAGGATGGAACCAGAATCTAGGGGACTCAACGATGAAACAGCTGTTCTACCCCACAAGCCCGGACCCCATCAGGCCCACGCACTCAGTTTCTCCTGCGAGCTGAGCTTTAGCATCTCTCGGTCGGCGGAGGTCACGATCACATTGTTGCTGCCCTGCTCCCGCACCAGCTCCTTGATGTCTGCAACGATGGCCCCAGAGGTGTCAGCAGGACCCCCGGCACAGCATACCAGCTCCAGCCCCCATTCCACAGCACTGTGCCCCAACCCTGAAGACCAGCCACCTACCTCTTAGGGGCCCAGAGTCCTCCATTCGGGGAAGCAGCTCCTGAGTAGATAGAGAGAGGCGTGAAGGAGCAAACAAGGCAAGAAGTAGGCTCAGGACGTACCCACAGCAGGGACTGGCTCACAGAGGAGCAGCAGGACAAGCTAAGGTCCAGGCCCACTCACCGAGACCTGGTTGAAACCAAACACAGAATGCTGGGAACTGCAGCGCACTGGGGGTGTGGAACTGACTTTCCGAAACACCGTCATCTCCACTCCGGGGTCCCTGGCGGTGAAAAAGAGCAGCAGCTTTGGGCTAACCTCCTCTCTGCACATGTTACTTTTTCCCATCTTTGTCACTGCTTCCTCTTCAGAAGTGACTTTACAATTCCAGGGCTAATACAGGACAAGTGCTCACATTCACTCAGAGAGCCAATGTTCTCTAAGCGCCTACTCCACCCTGCAACACTCAGGACCAAGCAACAAAAACCCTCAATCCCCAGCACAGCCCCTATCTCATCCACCTGGGCGGATTGCTGTCGCCCTGGGCAGGCTCTTCCTCCAGCTCCCCCATGGTAGTGCCTCGCTTCTCCACGATCTCGCCCTGGTCAAACATGGCATGCAACCGATAGTTGACGGTCTTGATAGTAGCAAAGATGACAGCCACCACGAGGCAGTACACGCCGGCCACCATCAAGCTGGGAGGCAGGACCTGAAGATAAAAGCCAGATCCCTTTTCACAAAGCCTTGCCCCCACAGGATCTACCACCAGTCACGGCCGGCATTCACAGACTCACAAGAAGACTTCATCACCCCTCCACACAACCAGTACACAGATTTCGGCAAGGGGCTGTCTTCTGTTTAGCTGGATAACGTTAAATGTGGGGCTCAAGGTCACTGGATCCAAGAAAGGAAGACTTTGGTCTCTTCCACACAGATCCAAACTCTGCAGTGATTCCTTTCTCCCCACATCCCAGATCCCAGGGCACGGCCCGAATCCCTGCCAGGCTGCCCTCCCTCTCCCGGCTGGAGTTACAGGTGGCAGTGGCGTCTCACCATGTACAGCAAGAAGGGAAAGATGAGCAAGAAGATCCAGACATAGAGGTGGAAGCAGTTGGAGAAGGTGCTCTGGTGCGGGTCGAAGAACCAACCGCCGGTGAGCGAGGCCCACACCCCCTGGCGCAGGATCTGCAACACTTGCGACCCCATGGCCCCGCCGCTTCTGCGCGTGCCCCCCTCCCGGGACCCTCATGGGGGCGGCCCCCGGCCCATGCCCCGCCTGGCGCCCGAGGGCCCCGGGGCCCGGCCTCACGCTCACGCCATGGCCTCCCCCAGCGGGGGAGGGGGGCTCGGCCGCGCGAGTGTGCGGGCAGGGGGCGGGGCCGGCCGGGACAGTCAGCAGTGGAAGGTCCGGGCGCGGGGGTGGGGCCGCATTAGGGGCGGGGTCCGGGTCCCCACCCCTGGCCCAGAACTGCTCCGCGGGGCCGAGTTGGCAGGCAGGCGCGGGGCACGGGCTGGGCACCCGTCGGCAGCATCCAGAGGTGGGCGTGGGGTGGGTGCTCTCAGGGTGCAGGCAACGGCTCCCTAGGCTCCCGGCCGGGGAGAACCCCGGGATCTGGGGTCCACTTCCGGGGTCGCAGGTCACTCGCTTGGGGCTCCGCGCTCGCCCGGCTTCTGCCGGTGCCGGCCCAAGGAGGAGGCCGGAAGAAGGATCCGCGAGCAGCCAGCCTGCAGCAGCGCATGCGCCCGACGGTTCCAATTGGGACCCGGAAAAGGAAAACTTGACGGCATGAATGCGCAGGCGCAGATAGGTGGCGGCGCTGTGTGAGGCGAGGGATGCCCTTTGGGCCTGCGCAGAGTTTGGTACTAGAGCAAGTGCGTGTGTTTTGGCGCATGCGCAGACTTAGGAGCTGCCGGCCTAGGGGCGACGACTGGGCGGAACCAAAGGGGCAGTTGAGTAGCCATTGGGTAATGGCAAAGTAATTGGCGCACAGCTCTCCCAATGAGTTGTAGGAGGCGGGGAAAAGGTGGAGGCGTGGACTCCCCTACTTGCGGCGAGAGTTGTGCGCTACTGAAGCACGCCCCTCTCGGTCCGCCCCTTTTAACGCTGGACCTCATACTACGTCATGAACTTGCTCTCTCCTGGCAGCGTCTACTTCCGGGTCACAGCTCAGACCTAGGGAGTAGAGAACAACTTTCCGGAACAGGCAGGAATAGTCGAAATAGGATAGCGTCGTTTTTCTTTTTTTTTTTTTTTTT